ATTGGAAATTTCCTAATAAGAAACCTTTTGGATCCTGAAGATCTTCTTTTTAAAAACATTTTTCTGGGTTCATCTGACGAAGAATTTTTGATCTAAATTTCATTTCTGGCAAACCAGATGAGATTGGAAATCTCCTAAAGAAAAATCCTATGAAATTCTTCTTTTTAAATATTTCTTCAAGATATATATTCAATTCATAATTATTGCGAAGATATCTTTTAATATGAGAACTAGAGGGGATCCGTCGATTCCATCGGCGATATCGATCCTTAATGAATAGAAAAAATGTAAGCCCTCAACCCCTCAACCCCTTCAACCCCAACCCCTCAAATCCCAGCCCCTCAACCACAAACCTTCAGCCCCAACCCCTCACCCTTCCGCCATACCCGACAAAACCCTAACCATTACAACAAAAACAAAAAACAAAACCCCCCAAAACCCCAACCTTTCAACCCCAATCCCGCAACCACAATCCCACAGCCCAACCCCTCAGCACCCCAAAATCCCCCAAAATAAATAAAATATCATAAAATGCAAACAATCCCTCAACAATCCCGGAATAGCCCCCTCGCATCCCTCAACAACCCCCTTCAATAGCCCTTCCCTTCAACAATCCCTCCCTTCAGCAACCCCGCCCCTCAATAGCCCCTCCTTCAATCCCTCTCAGCCCCTCCTCAGCCCTCTTCAACCCCTTCTCAACTCAGTGGTTCAAGCCCTCAACCCTTCAGCCCCTCAGCCCCTCAACCCCAACCCCTCAACCCTAGCTCCTCAAACCCCAGCCCCTCAACCCCAACCCCAGCCCCTCAGCACCCCAAAACCACCCATCCCCCGCCATACCGGACAAAACCCAAACCATTGCAACAAAAGCAAAAAACAAACCCCCCAAAACCCCAACCTATCAGCCCCAGCCCCTCAACCCTCAATCCCAACCCCTCAGCACCCCAAAAAAACCAACCACCCCCACCACGCCCGACAAAACCCACACCATCACGACAAAAGCAAAAAACAAAACACCCCAAATCCGACAAACTCCTACAACCGTAAAACCCTTAAACCCTGAACCCGGGGGATCCCGAAAAATTCATGAGGCGTGTCCAGCGTCGACGCTGCATACCACCAAGTGGAAGTGAATGTGCGAATATGATGATTCTATTGTTTGTTGATATGTGATCGTGAGGGCGAACCCCCTTGAACAATTGGTGGGCGGCGACCATCATCTGAACTTCCCCAGACCAAGAGATTTCTTTGAAGATTTCCCTGAAGGTGAAGGGGTACCCACGTCATCATTGTTATGCTAGAACCTTAGACCCAATCCGGAAAGCCTAAATCTCAATCCGGGTGATTCCTAAAATTCCGGGAATTTTCAGTTCCGGGTGACCCTCCCCCCCCCCCCCCCCCCCCCCCCCCCCCTTCCTGCCCCTACACTGCCACCCCCCCGGCTTCAGCGGCCTAGCTCAACTTTACGATCAATCCAAGCCGAACCGTCTCAACCCTCAACCTTGAACCTTGAACCCTAAACCCAACCCTAAACTAACCCTCAACCGAAACCCCAAACCATAAACCATAAACCTGGAACCCTAAACCCTAAACCCAACCCATTTTGCTTGGGGTCCAGCGACTTGGGCGCTGCGGAATCAGCGGATGCGCTGGGCCGGGCCGAGGCGGGTCGCGTAGCGTTAAAATTAAGAGTTTCTGAGTGCCCACTAGACCAGTTTCGACTTGCAGTGCCGCCAGCGAACAGGACTGATACTTCAGTTGTCTTCTCAAATCTTCTCACTTTTCGAGCCTTCTGACTTCGCAGAACATTGCAACAAGTAGATTTCGGAATGTCGGACTGTCTTGGACACTGCTACTTACTTTGCGTGAGACGTTCTCCATAAGGATCTCGAGGCTTTTGTCGAGGTAAGATGGAAGGCAAACACTGGCTCCCAAAGGAAACCAAAAGATGCAAGATGAGTCTTAGAGCCAAACTTGCATTGCTGCCACTAATTAAGCCATTTCTTGAGTCGCACTTTGGCACGCATCCTTGAGACTCGCATGTGGACATTCGGACTTCGTATCTACTCTTTGCCTCCTTGCACACAAACCAAATATCTCTGCAACCTTGTGCGGTTTGACATGAGCAAGCCCGGTTCTACTATGTACATTGCTCTGTGAGGTGCGAGTCACTGCTACCTCAGTGCATCAGTCACGGCTCCGACAACATGCACCCTGTGCTCCCATGAGCACATCGAGCAGAATAACCAAGACAGCACTGGATTGAACCGCAGCCCAGCTTCACAGTGGTCAACTCTGTTGCGTGTCTCGATTGATTTCGCGTACTGGCCTCACAAATCGAATCCAGAACTTTGACATTTTTGCGCTGCCACGAATGATCTGTCGCCAAGGAACACCTTTCTGGCTCTCGGCCTGGGATAGGAGGGCCCTATCTTCGCAAAGCATTGCAGTTCAAGAGGAATGCAAATCCTTGCCTCAACTTTCTGGAGGAGAACTTTGAGTTGATAAGCATTGCACATCTTCCTGTGAACAGTGCAGCAAGACAGGATTTCCTCGTTGCCCTAGTGACTCTAGTTGCGCCCAGTGAAGTGCACTTACCAAGCCTGAGCTCAGCGTTCTCTGTGAGAAGCTCATAGCACAAGTTTGGGACATAGCTGTCTCCTCGAGATGTGACAGGTGGACACTGGTGCACAGAGCTCGTTGCATCCGGAGAAAAGCGAGTGCAGCTGTGCTGCTTGACACCAGGCGGTCATGGTCTATCCTGGCACAATACATGTGCCGGACCCATACAGCATACACAGCTTGAGGCGAATATCACTGCAAAAACTGTGGAGCGAAGGTACTGAATGATCTGGTCAATCTTGGCATCAGAGCTGGATACCAGAAATGAGAACATCTCATCATCCTTAAGCCGTGGTAACGCTCAAAGAGGCCATGGCGGGCGTGGCGAGAGAGGACTCTGCAAGGAGCTTCGTGCAATGCAACTGCCGCAAAGCTGCAGAATTGAAAGCCAACCCTTGCCCTCGCAAGTTGCATTCCTGGTAGAGGTTGTAAATTGAAAACCGTTTCAAGTCCTTGGCTGCAAGCTGGGAAGTACACGAGCGAAATGCGCGGCAATGGAAGCATAGAACTCATTTAGCTTTGCACACTCGGTCAACGCGAGGCAAAAACTCCAAGTGTCTGCCCATCTGCTCATGATGATCTTGAGACCTGTCGCTGGAAATTCTTTACCCTACCTGCTCCACATTGCATCTGCTGCGATGCAGGGATGTGTCGGGCGTGTAGGGTTTCTGTTGAGATAAGGCCGAGGCCAGGCATGGACACATCTCCTGGTTTTCCAGATCTCGTTTTCAAGAGCTCCTCCTGCAACCCCAAGACCTTTCAGCAGCTCATTGCAGCGGCGCTGCCACTACTCTGCACTTGATTTCCTGCTGTCAGCTGGACGGATCCAGAACATCTTGCCTGCAGCTTGGCCTCAAAAATCTCGGCAATGCTGTCCTACACACCGGTTCAGAAAAACTGGACCTGCCCAATGGTACGGTACTATATGTTACTGTATGTTATATACTTCTACTGCAGAGGTCGACAACGGACACTGCCCAAATATGAGCGGTGGCAGGTCGAGCCCATTCTCAATGCAACTCGAAGTTCGACTTAAAGCTGGAAGCAGAGGTTCTCGGACGGACACCCCCATGTTACCGGTGGTCGACTCGAAGGGGTGAAATGACAAAGCACCATGGCATGAGGCTCCCTAGTCCGTGGGTTGGACGTGATGCCGAGAAGTGCAGGTCCTGGAGCACACGCGTAAATATATCGTACGACTTCAGGTCTCGCACCTCAGGTGTTGCGCGCCGGCTTGTCAAGCATGAAGCCCAGAATAGGCTGGGGTGTCCGTCTGGGCACGTAATAGCCTACATATCCTACATGGTTTTGTCATGCCACTTTTCGCAGCTGTTGAGAGATGTTCTCCGGCTCGTGCTTCAGGTACGCAGTAGCTCGATCTTTGCCTCAGTTATGGCACTCACATGCCTGCCTCAAACATCCCGCGGCCTTTCGACAAGAAGCCCATACTGAAAGGATCCTCATCCGCAGAAGATGCGTGCCTGCTGCAGGCATCTGCAAGCAGTGTTGCATGAAAGATAATGAAAAAAGTGGCACCATGGCTGAATGCTGAGTTGGCCGAGAGGCACTCTCTTGTGTTCAATCAGTTGGCGAGCTGCAACTGTTCTACGGATCTTCTCGCGTCCTCAGATGCCAGCACGGCAGGCCGTGCTCCGAATTCAAAACATCACCTGACCTTGCACGAACAAGCGACGCAGCTTGCAGTCGTCCATGAACAAAGATAGCCTCAGCACGAGGGCAAAGTGAGTTCCTCTCAGCTGCCCATCACGTTATAGTACGCCCACACCCTGCTAGAAAATCGTGTCCGTCCATGTCCGTCCCAGGCACATGAACTTGACGTTCTTGGTACCCTGCGCTCGCAGGCTGAGTGCGTCCAAAGAACTTACCCACAGCACCCCCCACCCCCAAATGCGCTGCCTTCTTCTTTCTGATCTCGAAGAGCTGTGCACGCGCAGATTGAATAAACTTATCGAGCTCATATGACGCGTCCTCGAGCTGGTCCAAGCCAACGTAGGTATCCAACTGCATCGCCGTGCAGCCGTCCTGGTCCTTCTTGTCGGCAGAATCATCTGTCTGTAGTGGGTTGTCGTTGTAGGGGGAGCCGTGTCGGACCTTGAGGATGTGTTCCCACCAATCCTGTGTGTTGTCCATGACTTGTCTCATGAGGTCAACTCCTTCGAAGATGTCCCTTTCCATGACATCGGACAGCACAACCTTTTCAGGACCAGCATCGGCCCCTAAGCCCAAAGGCTGCTCAAAGCCACCAATGGTGTCTTTGGGCGGCAGTGGCTCAGCAAGCTCTACGAAAGCGATAACCGTCTTGCCTTTACCTCCAGATCCTCCACAGTCTCTGACAACAAGTTTTTGCACCTCCGTACCCTGCATTCGCATCATGGGCTCGGGCTTGTCGACGACCGCTTTGTCATGTTCCAGAGCCAAGCAGCCGTCAGTGTTGTCACCCCAAGCATACACTCTCCCATGGCTGGTCAAAGCATAGCTCATGCTGTCCTTAGTGCCATGAGTCGTAAAGGTATGAACGATTATGTTCGTGTTTTTTTACACGGCAATCCGCTCCTCAGGTCCATGTCATTTGGAACTACCGCGGCCGTTCTCTCCACCTGTACTAGCTACTAGCAGTACGAGCTGCTTGCTGTACCGTAGTAAGCAACTGAGGTGATATGCTGCCTGATGCTGTCGGGGCTCCACCGTCAAAATCTGCGTCACTGTGTAGGGTCTCAGCTCCTCCACTGCAACGGGCTCATAGCGGTTCTGCTGGTCACTCAGCCCCAGCTGGCCCTTCTCGTTCAGCCCCCAGGCGTAGACCTCTCCAGGATGTCGATGTCACTCTTAGCGATGATTCTGGCAAAGCCGTGTGTCGTGCAGTAGCTAGCTGTGATAACAACTTTTGCGTGCAAGCCAGGGGGAGTCACCAGCGACACAGTTTGGGTTACGCATGAAGCATTGAAAAGCATGCATGCCTTCCCAAGGCTCGTGAGGGCAAGGACATGACGCTTTCCATATTGAATGTCCACGATCTTCCCTTTGAAGTCGGATGGGAAGTTGATCTTCCTAGGGTCTTGCACCTCGGACAAGATTGCGAAAACCACAGGGCGCAAGGACCGCTGTCGCAAAAAACCTGCGCAAGTGCGCGAACTGTGCTGAATTGGGCTGAGTTACGTTCACCTGCTCCGTGCCAAGCCCAAGGCATCCAACTTTGTCTTCGCCCCAGGATACCAAGCTACCGTCCTGGAGGGGAGCTATGGAATCAACCACGTCTTTGTGTGGCCATGGCAACTCAAAGCATTTAAACAAGATGGAGTTGCGGGAAGGACTTTCCTGGACAGCTAGTGAGGCGTGGGGTTTAGTCTGGCAAAAGCAGCCTGAAGAGATCTGAAAGGCAGAAGATCTGTCCTCCTTCAGGGCAATGATAAAGTTCTGCCCAATGATGATGTCGCGAATTTTTCCAGGCACTTTTTGTGTCAGGAACGGGGCCTTGACAACCTTGCAGGGTACTACCTCGTTAGACTTCGTTAAATGCAGGCACCCTCCTACTTGCCTAAGTGTCAGTATCAGTTTTGGCCCAGGATAACTTAGCATCCCGCACCCCGAGCAAGCACCCGCTGATGCTGATTAGACCCTCAATAAACGAAACAAAAAATGACAGCTGTGCTCACGTATGAGAGACAGGCACGCGCTTGCCCCAAATGCCCCACAACCAAAAGTTGTTCTCTGGGTTGTTGGCAGCGTTGCCTCCTTAGCAATGTGCAGCAGCTGGCTCTCTCTCTCTCTCTCTCTCTCGCTCTCTGTCTCTGTGTGTCTCTGCGTGTGTCCGTGCTTGATGGACCGCTTGCGTTCAGGACACCGCTCTGCCCAGTCATTTTGCAAAAGCCGCCCTGCCCTAAGATCTGATCAGAGAAACCGCTTGGGCCAACAATGCGAGCACGAGGGCGGTGGAAAAAGGTCACACTTTTCTGACTGAGTTGCTGCAATTCCGGGCCGATCTCCGGTTGAGAACCAAGATCTGTGTTTGTTTGTCTGGTAAACAAGCAAGCGCGCATGAGCATTCGCACCAGAACCTGTCGGGAGGCCTGTTCCGGAATGCTCTGTACAAGCCTCGCATTCCTGTATGGTCGGGCTACTTCAAAGGTTAGCAAAGAGCCGGCTGGCCAGCCGGCCATGCGCCCCTACGATCTACGACGAATCTACGGAGGGCATCCCTGTATAAGCTGCTGATGAGGTCGGTCACGGGCAGAGACACAACTTTGAAATACGTGCCGAGCTGGTACGCTACGAGTTCGGAGTTCCCGTATTTCTACGCCGAAGGGCATGCCCTGTGAACCCTTCCAGCAGCCACGGGGCATCAGTGAAACTCAGAACTCGGAGAAACAAACGGAGCTCTGATCGCTGTCGCATGCGCTTGGCATGTAAGGCAAGCTCTTGAAACTCGCGCTGTTGATAAACCTAATTAGGGTAGTCAGCTGAAATGAGTCCCTCTTGGGTGTCCCTGTTCAGGGGGCCATACTAAATAGGGGACCCCAAATGCCAAAAGGGACCTTGATTTAGTCAACTACCCATTAACAGCTGGCCATGCCGGTCGCTGCGAGTGCACGAACAATGTCCAGGGCTGAGATAACGCCAACCTAAGCGCAAGCTGCCCATCTGCATCAGCCACAGTGTGTGCTGGTAAGGCAAGTTCAATTTGGGTGCAGTTACCCATTCTAATGAATGCCAGAGAAAGAAACAATCTTAGACCTGGCTGGCTCCTCCACGAGCAGGTGGTGAATGCCCGCCTTACACATGATCGCCTGAGAGTCGCATGGCTCAAAGTATAAATCGTGTGGTGCATTGTAGTCACCGAGCTCACAACCCAAGCAAAGCGTGATGCTCAGTTTCTCGCAGCAGCATCAGCCAACGAACTCTCCGAGGAAACGAACCGATGCTCGGGGCTGATGCCTGACCTTGTCTAGTTTCTTCGGTTGGCTGTCACCACACGAGATGCTTCGCTGAAGAACTGCAGTATATCCTGTTTCCGCCATGGTGAGAACACACCCTGAGACAGAAAAAAAGGAATGCTCACGTTTTGCGCAAGATGCTTGTGCAACCACTTCCCCAAACTCAAGCTTCTGCAGTTCACTCGCTCGGACATAGCACGCAAAGCATCACCTGGTGTAATGGCACCTCCCACGATTGCGTGCTCCGCACCCTGGCCTCACGAGCAAATTAACAGGTGGCAAAATCATGCTCTGCCTACCTCATCTGCCTCAGATTAAGAATAGAAACAACGACTCGTGCCTTCTGGCTCTTCCAGCTTCTCTAGCTCGTCTTCCGTTGATGTAGGGATCGCTAAAACGCAGTTCTGGTTTGAGCTGTGCAGGAGGTCCAACGCGTCACCAAGGCTCTCTGCCAGGGTACCTTCCAGAAACAGGTGTGATGCACGTAGGGCATTGGGCACAATGAGGCGAGATGAGTCTCCATGAGTGCACCCCCAATGCATTTATAAATGCTGCTGTTTGATGGATGTGGTATGGCTACCCCGGCATTCCACCATGCTGGCACCAAAATACGGAACTACCTGATGCTCGTAGTTGAGTGCGGTGAGTGGTTGTGCCATTTGGCCCAACGCACAGAAGCAAAGCGATTGCAAAGTGATTCTGGCAAGACGTGTCTCTCCATGATTAAGGGCGTCTAGGTCAGATGAAGAAGGTTAAGAAAGGAACCTCCCGGATCTTCGAACAATAAGTTCTAGGAACCAAACTAGACCCCTACCTCGCTTACAGCAACCAGCTTTGTTTCACCTACATTCATGCCAAGGGGCACGTGGGGACCTGTGCCCGGGGCTTCATCGCGCAAGTGACTGCCAACTTGGCTACCTCCATCGCCTAGCAAGAAAACGGCTCTGCGGACCCTGAAATAACACGGGATATACAATGAAGTGAAATGCCTAATGGCTCTCGCGACAAGTGCCAAAAACAGCATGATAGGTACGTGCAGATTTTGCATTGGATCAGCCGGCAGATGGCAGTTCAACAAGTTCACACACACAGAATCACACACACACACACACACACATCTCACGCTTCCTGAGACAGCTACTAACGTGTCGGCATGGAAAGTTGGTGCCTCGTCGCTAGCATGCGCAGAAGCCGCCACAAGGAGGCCGCGGGCAATGTCCAGGGCAGACAGTAAGGCCACGTTTCGAGAAGCGTCCCCAGGATCGACCAGGAGATGGTGGCAAGCAAAGTCGCCTTGAGGCAGACTCGTCTTGATGGCAAGTCGGCTTGCAAAGAGCTTGTTTTGCCATGGTGCCGTTCGTCATGACCGCCATGCGCGCGGCAGCTTCCACTAGCGGCATGTCTGGCTGAAGAGAAAGTGGCGGAACAAGGAAATTAGGCAGCCGCGCCTGCCCAGTGAAAGCAAATGCTGCTATGCTGCTTGTTCCCACACTCCGTGCGGGTGTTAGAGCGCCCAAGCTTAGAGAATCAGAATCCCGCGGTGTCCACTCCAGGCTGGGGATGGCGAAGCAAATAATTTCATAACTGTCGCCAATATGACTCTTAACATGACGAAGTACATGATCACCAACTTGAGACTGACAACGTGACTGGCAAGTTATGCGGAGCCCTTCATGCAAAGTCCTCACCGCCATGAAGCCACTGGCCGACGGTACAGCTGGACACTGTCCCTTCCACGAACGCCAACCTTCTCGCATTCTTTAAGTCAACCGTTTGGCAAAATTTAGCTGCTTTCGAACACTTTTCGGAATCTAGCTGGGCTTTAGCTACATGGCGAAATTCTTTCTCTTTGCTGTAGCCGCGGAACAGCATGTCATTCTCTGTCAGCACGCCGAGGACTGTCTGTTCATCATCTGCTATGACAGCTGCAGTACGTCCAGTCGACTGCAATAAGTCACTAGCAGCAACCAATGTATCATCTGGTGAGCACACAGCCGTTGGTCGGCTGGCCGAAATGCTGCCCACCTGAATGAGCGAACTTCAAGAAAATGCGTTGCGTAGACTCGAAAGACATTCCTTCGTGCATCGCATGCCCTCTAACAGACTACAGTATGCGGGGGCACCAGTACATCGGAACGTGGTATGGAGCCAGCGACGGTCATGGCTTTTCGGCTTGACACGAAACCTTGCAGGCTGCAACAAAAGCTGGGGAAAGATTACCGAGAGAATCTCGAATAGCGAGGCCCGGTCACATTCAACAACCATACACGTGGCTGGAGAAAGCAAGCGATGATCTACAGTTTCTACTTACAGATTATCATAACCCACTAGACTTCACACTCTGCTTGAGACCCCTGCAGCCTTCTGCAGCTAGTGTAGTGGCCTACTCTTGCTCAGCTTTTGGCTGTTGGGCCAAAGGGCCAGTTCCGGAAAAGCCTGTGCACGGGAGCCGTGCTGAGCAGCGCGCAAATGTGCACGAGTCAGCTTTTCTGCTCGCATCCACTAAGGTTGAAGCCTTAGGCTTTCGACTATAAGCAAGATGTTCTTGCCACTTGCCACTTAGCGGCGGGGCCTTGCGCCCAAGTGCGTTATCTCACCCGCGTCTGCAGGGCTTTAAGGGATATGGCTATGCAGGTAGATCGCTCACAACCGAACTCGAACATATCAATCAATGTCCTTGGTGGCAAAGAAAATCGCTGCCATTCAGGATTGACTTCGACGAGATGGTTTTCTTGACACTTCCGGCTTTGTGTGCTAATTATGCAGTTCATTCAAGTATCTGAGTGTCGGATGGCATTTTGGGTTGCACTCGTAATGGAGAGAGAGAAACAACAGCAAAACAAGAGAGCCAGCGCAAGAGCGACGAGAGCGAGAGATCTCAAACAACACAGCGACACAGCGCGCTCTTTCCTTGGCAGCGGATGCTCATGTCATAAGATCCTGCTGCGGACGCTCGAACAAGACAGCATGCCAGCAGGATGCCGGGGAAATCTTCCTGACCCAACTCTGGCAGCCTAGCTTATGGCGACGGCACATAATGCGGACCCAGCAACCCGAGGCAGCGGCCAAGGTTTTTCGCAGCCTCAGCCACGCAAACACTGATGCGCGAGCGCAGTGCGCGCCCGTGTGTGTGTGTGTGTGCGAGAGAGAGAGAGAGTGAGTGAGTGAGTGAGAGAGAGAGAGAGAGAGTGAGAGAGACAGAGAGAGAGGGAGAGAGTGTGCGCGTGGAAGCTGGCGAGCGTAGCCCGCCATCGGCAGCCGCTACTCATTTCTCACTCAAGGCGTTGATGTTCAGTGGGCAGAATTCGTGGCATCATGACTGGGCCAGTTTGTCAGCAAACGCGGTGAATGGCAGGAAGGATTTGCACGTGCTCATCGCCGGAGATGCTCCATAGTGTAAAGATCGCTGTTCATGTCCTGCTCAGTGCAGCCGGAAGGCCAAGCTTTCTTTGAGGCACTCTGGCCAGCCTTCGCACGAGCAAACGACGACGCCAAGGCAACAGCAGCCCACTCAAGTTCGCTGCCCCTGACATGGCTGCGCTGCTCCGTGCGCAGGACTGTAAAATCTGTAAGCTTTAAACTTCGGCGTGGCATGTTCCAGGCCTGATACGCTGCAGTTTCCTGTCTCCAGTTCAAATTCTGGAAGACTCCGTGATGACTCAAGTTACCCCAACACATCCCCCACCCAGAATGGCAAGCAGCTGAGCAAAGTAATTCTTTACATCTTACTGATCCTGACATGGTCAACATCATGGAGCGCTTCGCATGGCTTATGCCAACTCGAGTTCCCCCCAAGAGAGCACGGCGGTCCTTCCACCCTTGCGACGCACTGTCGGCTCCGAGTTCTTAGTTCGGCAGGTGGCTGTCGAGCAGATGTCAAAGCTCAGGTCGTGCCATGTCGTGCTGGCAGGACGAGTGGTGGAACAAAGCAACAGGCTACAATTCTCAAAGGCTTCCCACAATTCTAAGCGATCCTGCGTCGTGCTATTCGGGTGTCCAAAAGCAGGATGTTAGCCATACAAGCTGAGGCATCTGCCCGGGTCCTGGGAGGTCACGTAGCAACGGAGTCGATTAACTCCCATCGAAGCATAAAAGTGCTCTGTCACAGAATCCACCATTCCGTCGCCTCTGTGCAATTGCACTCAAAGACTCGAAGCAACCTGGGTGCCAAGTTCTGAGCATTGGCCAGCTAAGCGGCAGTGCAAGCTCCGCGCAGGCGGCTTCTCTTTCTGGAAATGGTTGTAGAACCACTGCAGGAACTCTTCGAAATCTACGCAGCCACTGCCTACAATGGGACCCAAGAGCAGTTGTTGAACCACTTGCTTGAGACGTCTTGAGACACATTGGATTCTTCGGACTTCGGGCTCTGGCCATCTCTGTCCACGATTTTCCAGAGCGCTCGGAGGTTACTTTCTTGCAGCATCCTTAATGCCGTGACAAGCGAGAACTCGAGCTGGCACGAGCAGCCATGTCACAACGTGCCATGTCTGTCATCGTCCAGGCTGCACGTCGTCCTTCTGGCCGAAATGTCGGTAGGTCAGTGCTCGAACCACGCACTTAAAGTCGGCATAGTTGAGGAAGCCACGCTTCTGCACATCAAAGCGGGTGAACCTGTCTTTCCATCTCGACATGCAAATGTATGCAGAAAGGCCCGTCGAATCCCTGGAGAGAGCCCCGCAGACTTCCTGGGGTGCATCCACGCAACTCCTTGAACACCTTGGCTTGTTCATGTCAGACCGGACTACTCGGACTACTTTTTGCTCCGTCCAACTTATCTAGTCTCTCCTCTGAATGATATAACTTATACTGAATGGTCTTCACTTCAGTCGCATAACAGGCAGAACTAGCACTTTACACTTCATGCAATGTATCAACGGTCAATCCATTGGTCTGGTCACTGTTCACACCGACTCTGCCGCCACGCAGCCGTCTCCGTGTAAGCGATCGGTATTCGATACTTACGTGCCAGCTTTCGGGTCCAGCGCTCCATGTCGCCAATGAAATGCTCAGTGAACATGATCGATTTCGACAGCCTGCCTTATTCTGCGGATTCTGAAGCTCGTGAGGCTCGACTGTACGCTAGGTCACACCAGCGCACAAACATGGTAGCATGGCATGTCACACCACTCAATTTCACATGGTCGAAGCATGGTTGAAGCACGGGGTGTGCAACTGCACTCTGAGAGCTAAATGTTGTGGAAGGGCTCAGGCGGTCTGGGCGAGTCACGGGCCTCTATAGGAGGCAGCCGCTTTCCATACACATCCAGTGGCGGCATCAAGCGCATGTTGCCTGAACAGGGCTGAGTCTGGCCTGGGCCTGTCAGAGCCTCATTCGAGGTGGACAGAGATAATTGCCACTTGGTCACCGGACGACACATGTGAGTCGTGAAAGACGATGCGCAAGAAGCCTTACAATTGCGGTCACGCTCCTCACCTGTGCTGCCTGCGACATGCCAACATGTGCCAACGCAACTGTGAAACAGTTTATTATCGCCCACCCCCCCCCCCCCAACAGCAACAACAAGCAACTGAACCTGGAACTGAGTTTGCCGAGAGGCGTGTGCGGACGGGCGCGAAGCGCAGGCTGTGAGATTGCCGGTCTCGGGCGAGGGGGCCAGACTTTAAAGATGCCTCGGCCAGAGAATGACGGGCCCCGGGCAAGGTCACTCAAACGCACAAGTGCTTTCAGCGTTTAGCTTGGGGATGCAACCGCTTCCTCCATGAACGAAGCTCCCAGTCATCATTTTAACACCGAGGGCTAGCACTCCACCAGTACTCAGTACTGTATTCATACGAGACGGGCGGTTTTTTGTCTGTTAATGCAGCATGACAAAACGCGTTCGAATGCTCATGGCCACCAGGTCTCTCTTGCAACTACGGCCCACGTGCCCCGAGAAGTCAATGCATCTGCGCACACCGCGCTGGCTTCAGATGTTTTTTGCGCCTCACACAGATGCGGAACTTGCCCAAAGCTTGGGATGTTCCCCCTTATACAAACAGTCTTTAATAATTAGGGATGATCGTAGGGGGGGGGGTACCATTAAGGACTGTTAGTGTACGGGGGAACATCCCAACCTATATGTAGTACATGCTCAGTATATTCAGGGTAGGATTCGTATGCCTCCTGTGTCCTGGCAGCCCTAACCCAGACAGAGTTGACCTGGTCCATACATGTACCCACGCCTCTATCAGTGGAAGATAGCAGAAAGATGTGGAGACTGGGGAAATGGATGTGGATGCCCGTTGAGAAGGCGAGAAGGCTTTCCACTGCGTGCAGCTGTTTCCCTATGGCGCGCAGCATCTGCGCATGCCCACGCAAATTCCACGCGCCGTTTGCGTCCTCTAAGCCATCAGGCCTGCATAGTGAGTTGCCAATATTTGCCCAATAAACGAGCACAAGCCCCAAAACAGGCAAAAATTGCCAAAGAGGGACTGAAGTCAGGAGTAGTCTAGAGGATCATTGCAAACACTGCCCAGTAGTGGACTGCAGCGTTTTGGTTCGCAGCTTCTTCTTGGATACCCATGTTGTTACAACCCTTGAACACGGACGGCTTGCTTGAAATTCCCTGGTAGTTCACTGTTTCTGAAGGTCTATCCGCCGACCCCAGCCGGGGGCGGCGTCAGTGAAGACCCAATGCTCCCCTACCCCACCCCCCCCATGGACTGGCCCCATTAAAGCATGCCCGCTTCGTTGGCCCCTAGTGGCTCATGGCCCCATCATGGTCCCCTGATCAGATGATTTAAAGGGCTCCAATCCTCTCTTGCTCCGCTTGCCCCACCCCCCCCAACCCCCCCCCAACCCCCCAACCCCCCACCCCCCCACCCCGCTACCTCGCCACCCCCCAAAAAATTACTAAAAGGGGGATTCTCAGGACTTACTCATCATTCGTTGCCCCCCTCCGCTGTTATTTCAATTCCTAACATACCTTCTTCATTTTCTTCCCCCCTTCCACCTTATTCGCTTTTCAGAAGGGGCTTCTAGGGGTTATTGACCAATATTGCCCTTTTACCCACGGTTTTCAGCATTTTTTCACCAATTCATTCCACCTCATTCATTTTTCAACTCCACTCCCTAACATTCTTTCCAATATTCCTACCACCGCCCTTCATTCATTTCCCCTAATTTCCATCCTACTTTTCCAAAGCTCCCTAACAATATTCTTACCAAAGCTCCCATTGCTTGAAGTCTTTTATCCATTATAATAGGAACCGAGTAAATCAACAACATCGGCGACGACTTCTTCAAGATGGCACGCCTTGCTCGTTTGAAGGGTTTTTTCTTTTGTTAGACCGAGCTTCTGTTCTTGAAAGTCAGCAGTTGCGATGATTGTGCGACATTGACCACTTTCTTGCCGTAGCGGTTTTATCACTCAAGATGGAAGACCCAGTAGACTATGGCGATGTATATGTTCAGCTCTACGACAGCTTCATCAAAGACCAGCAGTCAGTGGCAGTTCTACGAAATCAGAGCGATGTTCTTGACAAGGTCTTTGCGTCGGGGTTCCTTTGCAGTGAAGACGACCTAGCAAACGTGATAGCCAAAGACATTGAAACATCCTTCCTCGGCAACCTTCCCGAAGACAGAGACGACGGCTTGATTCTTGAAGACTATGACATGGAGAAAGAAGCAGAAGATTGGAAGCGCTATGCCATCGAGCTTGTCCGAAGTGCTGACAGACCAACTTCAAAAGAGGAGTTTAATCAAGCAGTGTATGGATACCTGTATGCTAACTTTTGGAACTAGCAAAGGGTCTTTCCAGCGAGGCTTGAAAATGTCCTGCGTGAGCGGTTGCCTTTGTGAATTGCCGATCTCACGCTATATTTCTTGCTTCTGAACTTGTGAAAGACACTTTGAAAGCACCTTGCTTGGTTTATATAGCAGTTTCCAGTGCCCGAGCAATTCGTGAAGCTTCCTTTTGTCACACCGACAATGTCCGAGCCAGCATCCAGCAGTGGGTATGCTAACCCTACAGACATCTTTGAGGGTGTGACTTTTCCACCCACCGAAGATGTTTCCAGCAGCGGTTCCGAGGAAACGGGAAACTCAGAACCTGAAAGTGACACCGACGAGACCGAGAGCCAGAAGAGCCGGGACGATACTAACGACAAGGACTTCTTTGACAAGGGCAACGATAAGAACGACGAGGGAGGGAATGTGACGCAAACTACGTCATCTTCCCAAACCACGTCCCAGACAAAGATGACCACCTTCACGGACGCCGAGTTGGACGAGATGCTGAAGTCAATCGAGCAGAGGTTGAGTGAGTTGAAGGTTCAGGAGAACGCTATCAAGAAGGAGAAGGCAACAGTCAAGAAGGAAGTTTCCACCCGTGAGAAGGAAATTACCAAGAAGAAGAAGGACGAAGAGAAGAAGGTTGCAAGCGACAAGAAGAAGGCGGTTCGTGAAACCACCTTCCAGATAATCATCAAGCCAGTCGGCATTGATAACTTCCCGAACTCCTTTGAGATTGAGGTTGCCAACGGCGATTGCTTCCCCGACATCCGCAAGATCGGCGCCAAGAAGATGGGCATTAGCAACAAGAAGCTCAAACTGACAAGCGATGTCTTTGACCTGTCAGTCAACCCAAGGACCACGATCGGCAAGCTCTTTTGTCCGTCAGACCCGCCCCGCAAGGTCAAGGCAGGTGACACTTTCTCGCTGTCAGTCATTGCAAAGGGCGGTGCGAAGAAGCGCAGGAGCAACGACGACATCTTCTTTGACTTGCCATCCAACCACGACGTGAAGGAAACCACAGAGGAGAAAGACCTGTGGGGTAGGGTCTTCAAGTATTGCACCGAAATCACCACCAACAAGGAGTACAGCACCGTGACGATTTTGAAGACGATTGACAAGACAGCCCTCGACAAGTGCGCCAACGACCTGGTGTCAAGCAAGGCTCGTGTGTCGGACAAATTGATGAAGTTGGCAAGTGCTACACCGATGGCAAAGGAGATGCAGAAGGTGTGCGACGATATCACCTACAACCTTGAAAGGTACAAGAAGCAGCTGGCAAAGAGCATCTATGAGTCCGGAAGGATGACAGGCGACACCTTCGAAGCCGGCGTAGTGGCGGGAGCAATCAAACAGCTTGTGGCAGGTGGGACACAAAGAATAAAAAAAACATAATAGGATATGATAAAAAACATCATAGGGTATGATAAAAATCATCATAGGGTATGATAAAAATCATCATAGGGTATGATAAAAATCATCATAGGGTATGATAAAAATCATCATAGGGTATGATAAAAATCATCATTTTAGACCATTCCCTTTGGAGGTGCTGATGAGACGCCAGCCTGAAAACGTGGCTCACCGTTGCTATCAAGCAGAGATTTCGCCGAAACACTGTTCATCCTGTGAGAGAGCGGTGTAGGGCGAAGACCCTGAGATTTTCGCTGAAACGCTTCTCATCTTGTGAGCGAGTGGCGTAAGGCAGAGACCTTCTCAACGTGCATTTTGCGAGATTCCGAGTGCAAACTCGCTCTGCTGTTGCTTTGTGAGGTTCTTACAGCTCCACATATCAATGACAATGTAAAAAATCCTCTTCCGTGCCAGGTTCAGAAGTCATTGTCATCCGCGACTTCTAGAAGCCACGCGCCCGCTCGGTTTTAAGATAAGGTTGTTTAGGATAGGGTTTTTAGGAAACTTCAGGAAAAGAATTAGCTCCGAAGGTTGAACTCTCAGAACCGGAGCGTACAAACATCCGACTGTTTATTTAAAACAAAGCATTTAGGGTTTAGGGTTTAGGGTTATTTAGTTTAGTTTAGTGGTTCTGCACCGCCCTCAGTCCGTCTTGCATTTAGGGTTGTAGGGTTTAGGGCTTTCGGTTTAGGGCTTTCGGTTTAGTGCTTTCGGTTTAGGGCTTTCGGGTCTTTCGGTTTAGGATTTTTTTCTCATTTTTTATTTCGCCTTGTCAGGCGTTAGGGGTAAAAACAACGAGTTTTTCTTTACAACCTGTCGGTTGATTTTTATTCCGCCTTGCCGTAGGTTCTCACAACAAACCCTTCACGCAA